GGGAAGATTGTGGAATTTTTTCCCCTGGAATCATTAAGTATTCAGTTTAATTCAGTAGAGGTTTTTGGACACTCTTCCTACCCTATGTGGGACCAAAGTTAATAAAAGGCATCTGTTTATTTGGTTTGATTTCCATGCGATCATACCTCACAATGGAGATATATTAGTTGACCTCTTGAAACCACTGCTAGCCCAGTATTCTATAATTTCCCATATTTTTAGCGTCGACATGGCTTTCATAAATTAGATTGCTTTTCATTGCCAGAATCAGAGAGCCAGAGTCCTACTGAGTCCAGAAGGAGCCAAGTAAGCAAGAGTAAAATTTTGATTAGAAATTAAAGCTGAAAAGTCTGCTAGCTTTGCCTTTTATGAGAAGGCTGATGTCCCAAGTTCAGTGGGAGGCAGCTAGGATGACAGGTCAAGGAAGCACTTAAAGATGGAACCACAATTTAGTGAGAAAAGTTTTTAGGTTTCCGATATTCAGCCTCTGACACTGCTTTATGGTATGGGCTTTTGGTGAAATAATTTCTTACTCTGTTCGATATCTGTAAAAAGTAAACTATAGAACACATTGATACCTGGCAATGAGAAAAAATAAAGAGATATTCTCTATTTGTTTTTCAAAATTAATTGGACACAATCAGTGCATGAATGTCAAAGAATAATATATTCTGAAAAAGAGTTCAAGATACATCCCCAAATGACATATCTTGTAAACCTGAGTCAAGTCATCAGTGAAAAAAGAACGGGTGTTCTAGAAAAGAGAGGTATTCAAGGCATTCCTAGAAAAAAAAGATGGGAACAGATTATTCAATTTGCTAATGCCCCACTCTACAGAAACACAAGAATAATATATAGATACTGGTACCAAGTAGAGAACAAGTAACAAAATAAATTATTCCATCTTTTGAAACAAAAGAAGAAAAAAATAAACTTAAAGGGAAAAGGTATATATATATATACAGTTAAAACAACAAAAACAGGTCGTGATTTCTTTCTCAAAGCACAAAAAGCGTGTGGACTAAATCTTACAACTTGCTCTTTTCCCACTCCAGGTTAATTACTGGATTTTGTAAAGCTAAACTGCATACTGGGAGGGTTCATAAAAAAGGAATTAGAATGTAGAGGATAGAGGAGAATATGTGATGTATCCTAATCAAATTAGTCAACAATGAAGGAAAAATAGCTCCTACAATCTCTCAGAAAGAAAATGGTCTATTGGAGGATGGTTGAGCTGGCAAAGTGTGGGGCTAACATTATGTGAAAGAATGTGAGAATCCTCAATTCTGTGGTCAGACAATTCTTTTGTCTTGCTGATGATCATTCCTATGAGAAGAGAAATATAACCTCTAGTTTGAAATGGGGAATTTATAGTGGGTATAATATGCAGGGATTTATTGTTTTTGAAGAATATTACCCCTGAGAGATGTGTGCCTCCATGAACTGCATCCTTCCTTAAGAAAAGGGGAATAAGAGTTCCTAGGGAAAAACAGTATTAGGAAGTGTGGGAGGACAGGGATTTAGAGAAGAGATTTCATATCAAGAAAAGGATCATGGGATGGGCATGGGGAGAAATGGACTTTATGATTAGGGATATAGGGAAATTTCTACCATTGGGTAATACTTCCATCTTCTCTGTCTCCTGATATCTTTCCTGGCTTCCTTCAAGACCCAGGTCAAATCCTATTTTATACAGGAAGATTTTCCCTGTACCCCTTAATTCTAGTGCCTTCCTACAGGCTATTCTTTCCAAGTTATTATATATTCCAATTTATTCTATTTATAGCTTGTTTGTACACAGATTTTTGCATGTTGTCTCTCCAATTAGACTTGTGCTTCTTCAGAGCAGGGACTGTCTTTTGCCTTTCTTTGTATCCCCAGAGCTTATTACAGTGCCTGGTGACAGTAGGAATTTAATAAATGTTTATTGACTGACTAACTAGAATATTATTGTACTGTAAGAAATGATGAATTTTGATGAGAGAGATAAGCCTGGGAACCCTCGGATGAACTGATGCAAGAAGTAAGTAGAGTCAAGAAAACAATATATTTAATGAGAAAAATAATGTTCATAGAATAAAAACTATTATAAGACAATCAAAAGCAAATGCTGCCAAATTACAAATGACAATCACAGCTTCACAGAAGGATATGAGAAGATACTGCTTTTCCCCCAACCCCATTCCTTTACATTTCTTTGGGGAATCCACTAATGTGGAAAATCATATATTTTTCATACCTTTTCAATCTATTGAATTATTTTTACTGATTTGTTTTCATCTTTTTCTTTAAAAACATTTATTGCATAGGATACCTCTCTGAGAGGTAGGGAGAGTTACTGAGAAGAAATGTAGTTAACACAGTAACAAAGATAACACTGACATTTATTTTCAAATACCTTGGCATGTTCTAAACATTTATAGTGACTGTCCCTCCAGTTGTTTATCATTCTTTTTTTTCTTTAAAGTGTGTTTTATAATTGTATTTATGTTAATATTCTGTGCATCTAGGTAGATTAAAACCCAATTCAAATATATTGGAGTTATTTTGAGTGGAGTTTCTCATGTTTATTTTTTCCAGGTTTTTGTTACTATACAGAAATGCTGAAGGTGTTTGTGAATTTATTTTTCACCCTAAGGAATTACTCAATTGTCTCTACCTTTTTCTTTGCTGATTCTCTGGGGTTTGCTAAATATATCATCATATCATCTACAAATGAGCTAACTTTCCCCCCTCTTTTATGATTATTATTCCTTGTTCTCTATTGTTTTTGCTATTCCACTTTCTAGCCATGTATTGTTGGGCAAGTCATTCTTTGAGTACCAGAATCTTCACCTATAAAAATAAGGGTAATATTTAAGAGGCTCATAGGGATGAGAAAAGCATTTTGTCAGACTTAAGTGATATATTAATGTGTTATATTATGAGAGAAGGGGGAAAAATGAAGAATTGGTTAGGTTTTAGGTGCTTGATGTTCTAAAAGTACTTTTGAGTTTTTAATTGAAGGAAGAGACAATCATTTATGAAGGGTCAGAATTATTCTAAGTGAAGTAAGTCACTGATGCCTCTCTGTTATCCCCAGAACTTAATACAGCTCCTGAAAAGTAGTAAGTACTTAAAAATGCCTATTCATTCATTCATTTTCTTCCTTCCTTCCTTCCTGCCTTCCTTTCTTTGTTTCTTTCTTTCTTTCTCTTTATTTCTTTGTTTCTTTGTTTCTTTCTTCCTTTCTTCCTTTCGTCCTTTCTTCCTTCCTTCCTTTCTTTCTTTCTTTCTTTCTTTCTTTCTTTCTTTCTTTCTTTCTT